CAAATCAATATTTTCAAAGGCTGTTTGGAAGAAAGAATCTAATCTACTTAGGCATACAGTCACTCTTTCCGGAAGTCTACTAGACTACCGTTGAAAACAGACTTCTTCAACATTTCAATTAGGCACCGTTCAGAAGAGATTCGTCCCTACAGAGATATGTACCTATGTACTGCGAACATGCAAAATTATGGCCTACAATGGGTACATATATTTCCCGGCGCGATTTGCGATTTCCCGCATTTTTCCCGGCAAATCTGAATTCCCGGTTTTTTTTCGGGTAGATGGATACCCTGTAATTAGAAAGGACTCCAATGATCTTGAGCCTGTTTAGCAATTCTCAGCTACCAAAGATTCTCAATTATCTTAGCACTGCCTCGGTTCATTGTACGAGTGGCGCTGATTACTTGTCGGTCAAATTTGTGTAAAATTGAGGGGCTCTACAACAGTTACAACGTTAAACTTGAAGAGTCTAAAAAATCCGAAAGCTCGCTCAATGCTATTTTATTATAGTTTCAATAACACATACTCTTGCACGAGTGTATGTCATGAAAAGATAAGCTCAGGCCGGAGCTAACGATATGTTGAAATAAATCAGAGCAGACATTCTCTGTTGAACCTCCAAACGTAACAGTGCAAATTATTTACCAAAGAATTTAGGAACACCCTGTAGTATCCCCCACTAGAATAGAACACCTCACGCTATGTCTGAAGACACTTTTTTTGCAACATTCATGTACCTCAGTTTTATCTTCACAGGAAGTTAGTTTTGATCCTAACAATCAAATCTGCGAAGATTTTAAAATATTTCATCTTGGGTTTTTTGAGAAAAAGTGTTTTGAAGTTTACATAGCTGTTCACAAAGGCATATACCGACTATTGATGATACAAAACTGTTACAGATCGAAACAAATTCAGCTGAAAATGATTCAAAAGGGGATTAAAGTTGTCAAAACACTAAGTTTCAATGATACAGTAAGATTCCCTCTTCGGTACCGTCAGATATCGTAACAATGTCATGATCTCAGAATGTTTAAATTAATAAAAGAAATTAAAACAATGGTTTAGTCTCTAAATTTACTATTATTGAGCCATTCCATTGCAAAACGATATAGTGGTTCTCAGAATTTGGTAGGAAAATGGTAGTTTTGAACCTTATCGTAAAATATTTTTTTTTTCATTTTGTCATTAGAGTGACTATTTTAACGTTAGGGTAGTCCAAAAAACTTTTATTTTTTATTTTATTTTTTCAAAAATTACTTTTTAAAAAAATTATAGCTTTTGAACAACTGGGCCAATTTTAAAGATCAAAATATCAAATGAAAGGTAATTAAAAGTACTTCTAATGATGCAATATAACAATATTAAAAAAATGGGATTTTATATTTGAAAACATTGATTGTATTCGTTTATTATGGTTTTCATGGTTTGTAGATAGAGGGTCCAATGTGTTTTTATATTTTTCCTTAAAAATTTAGGTTTTTTTACACAACATATCGAAAAATCAGCGATGTGTTGTTTTTCATTAGCTGATGATTAAAATTTCATCCTTCAAAAACTGCACGATTATCAGGTAATGGCGTTTTTCAAGCACCTACAATGGCGACCAGTGAATCCAAATTGCGTGTGCTGAGTCGCATTTGCAGCAGCCACCATATTGCGTTATTGGAATCATTCTTGGCCGCGTTGTCTTTCATCATAGCTGATTTGAGGCCCGGCTGGATAGTTTCACGGCCGGTATGTCTCATTAGAGTGATGCAAAATTTGAAATTTTCGCTCCACAATACTTAAACGATTCCAAATCGGATACTGACTAACCTCTCAAAATTTGAACCCATTTGGTGAGAAACTGAGATGACACAAACCATTTGAAGTTTGTATGGGAATTACTATGGTAAAACCAAGATTTTTGTTCATGTCAATCTAATAATTCACCATACCGGTCTGCTTTAAATGCTTTCAACTGTAATGTAGTTATCAATGGTTCAATGCGCTGATGTCTTATGATCATGCTCAATCAACTGCTCAGCAGGCAACATTGGAGTTTCTGGGGCGTTGAATAGGGCACAAAAATCATGGCTTCTATGTCACGCAGCAAAATACAGTGTTGCCTACAGAGCAGCTGCTTGATCATGTCATAAGTTCACCAATCTCTTAAATATTTAATAACTTTTTCCTGTCTCGTTTTACATATAAACGATCTTCAGCAAAGTTGTAGCTGAGAATATTTTCTATAAGAATGGTTATTGAACTGTTTCGCAGCTTAATATGGAAAAACACTAGAAGGCAATGAACAAAAAGTTGAGATTTCCCATAGTAATTTACATGTAAACTTCAAATGGCTTGTGCGAAGTCTGTTTCTAACCAAATGAGTTGTAACTTTGGGAGGCTAATCAGGACCCGATTTGAAACCATTTAAGCACTGTGGAGCGAAAAAGTCAAATTTTGCATCAGTCTAATGTCTCATACATTTAGCCAGTTTTAGCGTCTGTAATATAACAAAAGTATAGTTTAAAGTCATGTAAAATATAAACTTATAAAGATCACTCCTATATACTGACCTTATTAACACTCAGCTTAAGATTTTTCTTAAAACTGAGTAAATCTTCGTGAAAAATCTTAGATTTGTTTCCTGACTGTTTCAAATTTAAACGCATTGGTCTTGCTGCGACGTTTGAAAAACTAACCTAGACTAGTTTTTTGCCTGCTAACTATCTAATGCTTTTGGCAACAAAGTGATGCTTACTTTCATCTGCCAATTTGGAGAGATTCTGAAGTCTGAATTCTGAAACCTGCGTCCGACATAATTTGAAATTTTTTATCAATTTTTTTTTTCTGTGGTGTTTTTTTCTTACAAATATCTACACACCCGCACAACTTTGACTGTCGAGTTTGGTCTTCTGGACATTTATGAACCTCAATTTTCATAAACTGCTCCCTTTTTTATACCGCTAAACGGCAATGTAACATGCGTGAGCCGTACTCACAATTTTTTTAGGTGGCAAACTCTCATTGTTACGCCCTTCCACCCTGCTCATGCCCTCGATCACATTTCATAAAGGAAGCGTAAAAGAGAAAGAGATATTGCAACAAATTCTCAATATTATACCTGTTTTCTAAGACATGGAGTGGGAGTTGTTCCACCAACGACCCGATGAGACAGCTTATAGAAGTAACATTCAAATTCAAATCCCTGTTCATATGTTTTTCCTTGATTTCGTTGAACTTCGATGAAATTCTTCTAACTTTCTTGATGTTCTTTGATGTTCTTGTTTTTTTCCTGAAATTCTCAGATATTTTTCAAAATTCATAGTACTTTCCTAATGTAATTAAATTTTCCTGTGGTTCACAGACCATCCTAAAGGTTGCAAAAATTTCCTCACGTTTAAAGAACTGTTTGCAGCACATCATTGAAATTCATATAATGTTGCAATAGTTCACAGAACTCTCTTGAAGTTCGTAGAACTTACCAGGATGGCATTGAACTCCCCTGAAGCTCACAAAATGTCCCTGAAGTCTGGAGAGCGAAGCACACTTTTAAAGTTTGAAGAATTTTCCTGAAGTCTTTCCTGAAGTTCAATGAACTTCTCTGAAAGTTGTTGAATTTCTCTGCTTCTTTGGAGGAACGTATTAATAGTTTGCCGAACTTTCCAAAAATTCACTACAGTTCCCTATAGTTCGCATAATTTCCTAGAAAGTCGCTGAACCTTCCTGAAAGTTTTCTTATTCAAAATATGGGAATTGCAATGCAGCTCTAGCAATTCTGTAGTAATTCAAGGTTAGGACTACCTAAACTCACTGGGCAAGAGCAGCTTACCTCATGTGAGTTTCATTCCTGTATTATCGGTTAGACGATTTTCAAACCAATTCGTCATGGTTGCCAGAATTTATTTTCGATCTCGCCATTGAGTCCAACATATCTATTTTTTTTTAAATCCAAGCAAATTTTTTTTTTAATTTTTTCCAGATTTTCTACACGATATCTCCAATAAAAACAAAAACACTCGAAACAGGACGAAAATCAATGCCTACTATGATTACGTGGCTGCCTCAGACTGTCCAGCTCGTTTCTTTCTCTTCTACTCTTATGAGGGAAGAGAAATTAATTAAGAAGTTGTTCTAGCAACAATTATTAATTGATTTTGGTCAAAGTCAACATAATCAATACGGATCTTACTTGAGAGTCAAAGAGAACTCTTTAATGCCATTTAGATTAATTCAATCATCATTTGAACATTGTTTAACTGCATTTGTTCAATTCGTAATAGTAACGTAACGTAATTTGTAACGATACAATCAATAGTCCATATACACCTTCATCATCGGCTTTGTAAACTTCAAAACACTTTTTCTCAAAAAAACCAAGATGAAATATTTTAAAACCATCACAGATTTGATTGTTAGGATCAAAACTAATATCCTGTCAAGGAAAATCTGAGGTAGGGGAATTTACGTATTCTCGGCAACCTAAGCAGCGACCTTCTTTCTATAGCCTTTTTCTCTATGGAACGCACACATATGCAGTATTGGTTTGTTTACAATCTTTTGCTGCCAGCTGCTCTAACAATTTCAGTCGAAAGAATTGTCAAAAACTGTTTTGAAACGCTTTTACAAAGCTCCAATCTTCTCTAGTGAGAGCGAGTATTGTCGGCAACCAGTTTTTCTTCGGCAACCGTTCCATTTGAACTGCATGTAAATCTGCTGTTCTATTATCGGCAACTCGAAATCAGCTACAATTTGTAGTGCGTGTGTTTCATTTCAAGAAAACCTTGATAGATTGCTTTTTCTCAGTGGTAAAAATATAGTCAAAGTGAAGCTGAAAGCATAAAGAATCGTTTGCATGCATTCAGCGAAGTGTTTTCGTAAGAAAATCCAGTGAAAATAGTGTTTCAATTTGGGTTGCCGAAAATAGTCTGTCATGCCGAAGCCGTCATTTCCCCTACATGAATGTTGCAAAAAAAGTGCCTTCAGACATAGCGTGCACCTCACTAACGCGTACTTACCATCATGGTTGGTGGAGCTGTAGCTGGCATTGCCGCTGTTGTTCTGCCCCGGCGAGCCCGGTGCCGACAGCATCATTTCATCGTTGATGGGCGAACCCTCCCGCGAGTTGTCCATGTAGCTCGGCGAAACCGGTGCCGATCGGGGCATCCCGAAGGGCGTCCGGAAGCACTGCGAACCCCGCTGGCGCCGCTTGCGGTAGCTCTGGTCGATCAGTTTCAACTCGCTCGAAGGGTCTATCCGCCAGAAGCTACCCTTGCCCGGTTCGTCCTGGGATCGTGGCACCTTGATGAAGTATCTACAAAAGGCGCGGTCAATCAATCAGATGCTGAAGGAATGATTTAGATTCTGCAAACCTACCGATTCAAGCTGAGATTGTGGCGGATCGAGTTCTGCCAGCCTTTGTTGGCTCCCGTCCGGTAGTAGGGGTAGTTCTTCGATATGAACGAATAGATGCCGGACAGCGTCAGCTGCTTCTCCGGTGATGCCGAGATTGCTTGCACTATCAGTTGTGCGTAGCTGTACGGCGGTTTGTCACCGTCGGCCATGGATTGAGATGCAGGTGCTTGGAATTCCTGGATCGAAAGAGCCTTTTAAGTAGCTGTTTCCAATGTAAAAAAAAATAAAAACAAACTTACGGTATAATTGTTGTTGTTACTACTATGACTATTGTGACTATACTGTGGGAACTCGTGCGTGTTTTGCCGAGGGCTCGTCGGGCAACTGTTGGCCGCACTGATGGTGCCGGTGGGCGACGGATAACCACTGCCGCCAATGTGCATGCCACTGTCCCGTCCACCACCGCCGCCTCCGCCACCGGGATGATGGCCTCGGATGTCTACCACTAGGTTCGAATTAGCCGATCCGCTCTGTTCCGGGATGGAAATCTTGAGCGGTGAGTAAACGACATTCGGCGACGGGGACTTGTTGCCAGTGGCTGAGCCACCCGCACTGAGATTGCCTCCGACCGCGGCTATTGCTGCTGCCGCCGCCGCCGCACTACCAACCGTTCCGGTTCCCACCTTGATCGGCGTGTGTTGGTTCAGGTCGATCGAAATGCCTCCGTTGTTGGCCTGATCGATCAGGTTCTCGAACTGAATCTTGATATTTGTACTTGGGAATCGAATGCTACAACTGCGGGCAATGGGGGAAAAGATCGTATTACTACTGCTGGTACCTTCCCAGAAAAATTTCCGATGATTTCTCGGTATACTTACACCTTTGGCAACTTGTACGGCTCGGGACACTTCCGGTGGAACACATTGTCGATGAAGACTCCGTTCTTGCTCAGGCAGAACAGATTGAAGTCATCGTTCATGTCGTGCTGGATGATGAAATGCTTCCGCGAGACGAAACTGTTCTTGCCGACGTGGAAATCCACCTGCGACTTGGACGAGTTCCGGCCCACCTCGATGATGTCCTCGCTGATCAGGAGCATGTTGTCCTTGCTGATGAGCCGCCCGATAAAGTTGTGGAAATTGGCCGTATTTGGTGAGCTGTTGTTGCCGGTTGCGGCGGTGACCGTGGGGGCTGCCGCCGGAGTTGTCACGGCAGCCGGTGCACTCATTTTGGCCGTTGCTGCGCTTGCACCGTTGCTTAGTTTTTGATTCGCCGTCGCCATGGTCGTCGTCGTCGTCGGAGGTGGCGACGGAGAAGATACTGGGGATGATCGCTGCGAGGACAACCGATTGTTACCATTCTTCGCTTGCTGCTGCTGATACAGGGTAGCGATAATACTTTGTTCCTGCTGTTCGATCGAATCCTGATCGACTCCAGCCGCTGTTTGCTTAATAACTACTTTCACCTCAGTGTCGGCCATCTCTGTAGTGCCACTGCTTGATACATAATCCGCTGGAGTAGAGGCGTTCTTCACAGCTCCAGCTGTGGTACCATTGTTGTCACTGGTGGCGCTGGTCGTCGTTGTCGTTCCCTTGGCCACGATGTACTGCACTTGGTTCTGGTAGACTTTGACCACGTTGTTGCTGCCGCCGCTACTACTGCTACTGGTGCCAACAGCGCCTCCACCGGTGGTGCTTCCAACCGTTGCTGACTGATGTTCCTTGTGGGCGTCCTGCTTCACGAGGGGCTGAGGCATATGAAACTTGGTCGTGGTGCCACTGGACATTACTCACTGTTGGTTCGGATGCGGAAAGTTGCTTTGGCTTCTCTTTTTTTTTGGACTTCACAGATCAATGGTGCCAACTGTCATTATCCTGAAATGGAGTGAGAGAGAGAGATAAGGGGGTTAGAATCAATGATCAATGAATCTTGAAACGATTTCAATGTTTTCACACAAAGAGAAATATTCTCTCGAAAAGAGAGAAAGCAACTCAAAGTGAAATCTTCAAATACTTTTTCAAGACACTCCGAAGATTTATTTTTCCCGAGACTATGTTTGACAAATAGCCAGGATCTCGAGATATTTAATGTAACCGAAGTTCACCAAAGGAATAGAGCCACCTATTGCCGGATTTCCGAACCAAACAATCCATTATACGATTGATTTTCAAACCTTAACAAACATACCAAAGAAAGTAAACTCTTATCTGACCAAGATCAAGAGCAGCCTTTCTCAGTCTATGGGTTGCGATCCATTGGTGGGTCGTGGGCTGCTCTTTGATGGGTCGTGGGCAGCTCTTTGATGGATCGCGGAAATTTAGAAAACTTAGTCAGAAGCATTCCAATTTTCTTATACTAATTTAAATCTATTAACGGAATCGAACTCCTTTAAATATATTAGCGCCTTAAAATCATTTAAGATTTCCAATGCCATTTTGCGATTATTAGGTTACTTATTTTGGCGCCTTCAGGACTGTTCTATCATTTAAATTCAGGACTATTTTGGCGTTTTCAAGCCATTTCAGAGATTTTTCAATGCTATGTTGGTATTCTAAATTTGTAAAGTTTAAATTTGACTTTATTGGGCTATTTTAAGCGTCTTTTGGACTATTTTGACTTTGGCAACTCGCCAACGAGGCGCGACGCATGAAGCTAGAAATGCTGGGACTGAGTGAAGTTCGTTGGCCAAACTTTGGAGAACACAAACTGCCGTCGGGACAGGTACTACTATAGTCCGGTAAATATTCGAGGTGAAAACGCTCCCCGCCAACGTGGAGTTGGTCTCCTACTTGGCGTCCAGGCAAGTGCGCGCTCATCAAGTGGGAGCCTATTAATGAGAGGATAATCGTTGCAAGATTTAGAACACGGGTTCGTAACCTTACCATAATCCAATGTTATGCGCCAACCGATTCTGCCCAGCTACAGGACAAGGAGAATTTTTACAGTTAACTGAATGCCGTCGTGGATACGGTTCCAAAGGGTGACATCAAGATCTACACTGGCGACTTCAATGCAAAGATCGGCTCCGGCAACACGGACTATGAGCGTGTCATGGGACGCCATGGTCTCGGCGAAATGAGCGAAAACGGTGAGCTGTTTGCAGAATTTTGTGGCAATAACGACATGGTGATCGGGGGTTCGGATGGACATACCGAAAATCAGATCGACCACATCTGCATCAGCCGAAATCGCCGACATCGCGTCTAACCATCACCTTCTAATCGGCGAGATCCGCCAACGCATGGCGCGGATCCAGCGACGGAAGGAGAGACTCGGGCGGCTGTTCAACATACGCCGACTTGAAGATCTAGCGGTAAAAATGTCTTTCGTTGAAGAACTTGAGACTCGAGCTGCGGACGTTCCAGATGGTGGCAGCGTAGAAGAACAATGGACGGCCATCAAGAATGCCTTTATAGAAACAAGCGAGAACAACCTCGGTGAGCTGCGCACCCAGAGGAAAGAGTGGAAGATTGAGGAGCGTAGAGAAGCAAAAGTCGCGATAGAGCGGGCGAGAACCAGAGGAGCCAAGAACGAAGCCCGTCAACGGTACTCGGCTCTAGAGAAGGAAGTCAAGCGCTCTTGCAGACGGGACAAGCGAGCATGGGTGAACTCCCTGGCCGAAGAAGGGGAGCAAGCCGCAAACACTGGCGATATACGCCTCCTATATGATATCTTACGACGGCTGAGTGGAGCAAGGATGAACCCGAGGATGCCAGTGAAGGATACGACTGGAGAGTAGCTTACCGACTGACCAGCTGAAACGCTGGTTTGAGCACTTCGAACAACTTCTTCAAGTTTCGACGGCCAACCAGCCATCAACATCTCGGCATGATCCGCATAGGGTGCGGCGCATCACTCGCGAGATTGAAGCAGCTATCCGAAGCATGAAATCCAACAAGGCTCCAGGGGTCGATCGTATATCAGCAGAAATGCTCAAAGCTGACCCCCTGCTCTCCGCTCAAATGTTGCATCAACTATTCTGTGCTATCTGGAACACCGCGACTTTTCCGGCCGACTGGATGCAGGGCATCATGTTACTGTGTATTGTTCTCAAAGTTCTGTGCATAGTTATCCTGAATCGGATACAGGAGAAGATCGACGCGACTCTCCGGCGGTAGCAGACAAGATTTGACCGACTCAATCACGAGAATCTGTTGGGCGCCCTGAGACGCAAGGGAGTTCCGAATAAAATCGTCCACCTCATCGAAGCGCAGTATCAGGCTTTCACGTGCAGAGTTCTGCATAACGGAGCCTTGTCTGACCCTATCCGGGTGACAAGAATGTATACTATCACCGCTACTGTTCCTCATTGTAATCGACGAGATCATGGTTGGTGCAAATGACCGTGTACCGAACCGTGGGCTGCTTTGGCAGCTTATCACCAAGGAGCATCTCATTGCATGCAGAGTAAGCTCAATGACCTAGCCGAACGCTCCTCTGCGGCGGGTCTCACCATAAACGTCAACAAGACCAAATCGTTGGATGTCAACACGGGCATCCCTTCCAACTTTACGGTAGTGGGGCAAGCAGTGGAGAAGGTCGAAAGTTTCCATTATTTTGGCAGCCAAGAACGACATAGGTGCACGAATGAAGAAGGGTAGGGCTGCCTTTGCGAGTTTACGAAACGTATGTACGTCAACGCACCAAAATCCGAATTTTCAACTCGAACATGAAATCTGTGTAGTTATACGCCAGCGAGACGTGGTGTTTATCAGCGGAGAACACTCAAAAGCTGCCTGCGGTACATAATTCGTGCCTGGTGGCATCACAACTGGATCTCGAATGCCGAGCTCCATCGTCGATGTCATCAGAAGACCGATAGCAACAGAAATTCGAGAGCGAAAGTGGAGGTGGGTCGGTCACACACTTCGACGGGCCGGAAACGAAATCTGCAAGCAAGCGCTGGATTGAAATCCGGCAGGACATCGCAGCAGAGGCAGACCCAGGGGTTCATGAGGCGGAGCCTCAACAACGAAATACAGGACCCTAAAGTAAGTAAAAGAACTTGTTTTAGAGATATCATGCAATGTAATGTGTCACACAAAGTATGTTGAATCTAGTCTGAAACTGGCAACTCTCTCGGGGGTGGATCCGAATGTGACCAACGTAATCTGGGACACTCGATAGGTCCCATTTCGACCAGGATCTTGTTTTTGAATTCTGATGTGATTTAATGTGTCGCAAGATGGATTTTGGTCCTAGTCAGGAACTGGCCATTGTAGTCCAAGACACTCGGTTTAGCTGCCATTGATCTTTTTAGTGATGCTAAAAACACCTAATACTCACTAAAACAAAAGTTAAACAAATGCCAAAAACAACCCTTAAAAGGTCTTAAAACTCTTCAAACTCTTAAAACCGCAAAAGAAAGCTGAGAATGATCATATAAGAGTCATATACAACGCATAGTAAAATTTAAATATGACCAAATACCCCAAAATTTGGCTCAATTACTCTCTAATAAACATTGCAAATCGACTTAAAAACTCGAAAATGGTCAAAATTGTCAAAATCGCCTTACAACGTTACAACGATTATATGACAAAAGGTCGAAAGACAGCACGAATGATGAGAAAGAGGACAAAAGGTTCAAATGGACAAAATATCGAATGATGAGAAGGCGGACCAAAGGGGGAATGAACAAAAGGTCGAATAAAGAGAAGCAGGACAAAAGGTCGAAGTATGATTAGGAGGACAAAAGGTCAAATGGACAAAAGGTTGAATAATTCAAAGAGGTACAAAAAGCCGGATGATGAGCAGGGGGGCAAAACGTCTACTCATCAGGGGGCAAAAAGTCGAATGGAAAAAATTGTCAAATGAAAAAAAGGTCGAATGATGAAAAGCAGGACAAAAGGTCGAAGTATGATAAGAGGATAAAAGGTCGAATGGACAAAAATTCGAATGGAAAAAATTGTCAAATGAAAAAAAGGTCGAATGATGAGAAGCAGGACAAAAGGTCGAAGTATGATAAGAGGATAAAAGGTCAAATGGACAAAAAGTCAAATGGAACGAAGTTCGAATGGTCAAAGGCCGAATGGACAGAAAGACCAATGGACATAAGATCGAATGATTCAAAAGGGACAAAAAGATCGAATGATTCAAAAGGGACAAAAAGATCGAATGATTCAAAAGGGACAAAAAGTCGAATGGTCAAAAGGTCTCATGATGAGAAAGCGTGCAAAAAGTCGAAAGGAAAAATGGTCGAATGAACAAAAGGTCGAGTAAAGAGAAGCAGGACAAACATTAGAATGGAAAAAAAGGTCGAATGATGATTAGGGGGACAAAATGTCGAATGGACAAAAAGTCGAATGGAGAGAAGACGAGGGGTGCGACACATCTAAATCTCGATTTTAAATGGTCGAAAAATCTCACACCAGTGAATCAATCTACGAAAAATCTTTTGTCATCTCTTGCATTTAAACCCATCTACTCGCATCGCTCTCCACCTTTTTGCCGGAAATCTTCAATATCATGATCAATCGTGTTTCTATCTATTAAGCGTGAGTGCATCTCAAAACAGCAAAGCAAAAAATTTCCTGCATCTTAGATAGAGAGAAGAGGGAAAAAATCCGAATAGAAAAAAGATCGAATGCACGAAAGACGAATGGACAAAAGGTCGAATGATTCAAAAAGGGACAAACAGTCGAATTATGAGAAGGTGGACAAAATGTCGAATGGACAAAAGGTCGAATGATTCAAATAGGGACAAAAAGTCGAATGATGAGAAGGTGGACAAAATGTCGAATGAACAAAAGGTGTTATGATAAGAGAGGGGACAAAAAGTCGAATGAACAAAAGGTTGAATGATGAGAAGCAGGACAAAAGGTCGAAGTATGATTAGGACAAAAATTCGAATGGAAAAAAGGTCGAATGGTCA